TATACTCTCTCATAAATACGTTACTTGAAACCCCATAATGATCAAAGCTATTGTATTGGTCTTTTAGAGAACTATTAATTTAGAGGACTATTTCATCGAATTACCCAGAAGATGTGTTCCCACTCAAGGAGCTTTACCCTTTAACCTCCTCCTGTGGATCCATTGTCGTCCCACTTCAACAGCTGATCTATTCCAGACAGTTACGTCAGAGGACTCCCATCGTTGTCAAGGCACCCGGACAATCGACGACCGCGGACACGAGGTCGTCGAAGGAGTCAGAAGCAGAGGCGGCATACGGCCTTCAGCCTTCAATAGTTGATTGAGACGAATCAGAGATTGAACCAGCGATTAGGAAGGATTCATATGAAGGCTTTGTACGGGCATTGTAGAGAATTGGACATAGGTGTAAATGAATTGCATAATGTCCGCAAGAACATCTACAGAGAGAAGATTGGGTAGCCGAGTGGTTATAGTGCTCGCCTTTAAATCTGGAGGTTGCTTGTTCGGTTTGATAAGTGAAATAGTTTATGAATCCATATATTATTTTTTATTTATCAGGCTATCAATTGATGCTATCTAACAAATGAACGACGTTAGATAGTGATTAGACCAGGATTTCGACCATTCCATTACAAAAAATAAATAAAAAATAATATTAAATAGGAGAAAAAATTGTTTTTATGCTGTATCTATTTTACGTCCTACGATGAGACGTGTGTTGCTTGAGATACAACAATCAGAATCAACGTAGATCAACTAAAATTTCATCACTGCATAGATATTGTCGTTTCAACAAAGGTTTAGATTCTGTATTCAAAAACTTTAACCAACGTCAAAAACAGTTTTACAAGCTACATGCCAACTTACACCGCATCGCCACGAACAGCAAGTATGGTGATTTAGTTTCTCTTGGAGAAGGTAATCAACATGACACGCTGTAGTAGAACATACCGGGTTGTACACTGTACATGCTACAATGGCACGATAAAATAAATCTACTGTCCCAGATAGTAAGCGATCACTGACAGAACAGACGGGCGTTGCGATACATAGAGCCAGGCCTCTGTCTTTGCTTGATCTGTTACAAAACTCGAAGATGTCGTCACTCCTTCCCACGAATGGCTTTTGAACTTGAGGTTAACGGCATGTAGGTAGATCCAAGGTCGGCCTGGTCGTATTGTAGGTGTGAGAGTTTTCAGATTTGGGAATAGGTGAGTTTCTATCTGAGAGCAAAGCCTGATTTTGTGTATTTTGATTGGCTAGATTTACATCTCAGGATATTTTATGGGGTTTGCTAAATGAATGAATTTTTATCCAGCAAAATATCTTGTCTCGATGGTCATTGCAAACATCATTGTGATTCTACATTATTCACAATCCAACGTATGGAACATTCAACGTTCTGCATTATTTGTCCCATCTTGTAGCCAAGGTGCTTTCATTGAAATATTTGTGCATCAGTACAATTAATGCTCTCATTTTCCTTACTGATAATGGGTTGATGTAATGAAGCAACACCGTAATTTCTGTAAAGTTTCCAGTTAAATTTGTTTCTAGGTTGATTTAAAATCAGGCTTATCAAAATAACATTCAACCGTAGTGTTTACTTTCTTCGAGGTTAATTTTTGAGCATCCAAATCGAATATTATTAGTGATATAAATGTAATTTTACTAGTTACCATTAAGTGGTGCATTGTGATCATGGACCCTTGAACCATTGGCGAATCTGCATGTGACTATCCAAATGGTTTACTGTTTGTTCGCTTCTATGTCTTAATTCATGTATTCACCACTTCCTTCATCATATTGAATGAAAGAAGATAAAACACCATTAGCACATAATTTGAAATCCTTCCTTCAGGTATTCTTTTGAAACAGCTTCGTGGTGCATACACATTTGACTAAAAGTGTTTACAAACCAAGCCATCTCATGGTGGCTAGCCGAAAAAAATCATTCTACATATTTTCCCTTTAATTTGTACCTTATCCCTGAACCAACTAAGGTTTCTTGGAGTCTCACGAACAACAAGCGCAAAGCAATGACTATTTTCAGTTACAGCAAGTTATCGGTTGAGCTGGAAGGTGTAGTTTGTTAGCTCATACAAAAGACCCGCTCCAGCCATGACCTGGGTCTGATCTGGTACACAACCGGGCAATAAACATAAACCGTACGGTCCCAGGAATCGCGAACTTGGGCGTCTGACCTAGAAACCGCTCGTCGAGGAGCCCCGAGAAGGGAGACGGAGTTTTGGCACATGTATTTTGCATAGGATTTTACTGCTTTGTTGAAAAAGTACAGGATTTAATACACTATGGATACACATTTAGTGATGTGGAAATATAGGGAGCCATCATCGTCGTAAACAAATTTAAGAATAAGAATAGTATTTTATGTCGATTCTTTGTCTTTGGGAAATGACCAAGATGGGCAAGTTTGCTTGGACCGTAAATTCGTATCCTTCCTTCACATTCTATGCTCTATCGAAGACAAGAAAAATAAATTATTTTATTGATATGTGGGTTAAAAAAGCCGAGCTTTTTGGTTCCAAACCCCTACCGCATAAACACCCCTGCAATATTCTCATGGTACTAGTCCGCAAAATTTGTCCCCACACATTTCACTGTCAGTATATTCGCTTACAAACTACGGACATGGTTTATTTTTTATTTAAGTAGTCCTATGTCTAAAACGATAATTTAGATGACTAAAAAATAGTTTTTAGCAGTCTAACTATATTTTGTTATCCTCAACTGTCACAATGAGGGGGGAAAATAATATAACTGGATCAAAGTTCAATGCTTCGTTAGAATGAAAACTCGTTACTCCAATTTGTTAGACCAAACACTCAACAGTCATGATAATCAGCTGTTGCAGTTGTTAGAAGTTAACAGATGATCAAAAATCAGCTGATTCCAGCCGGGGACAGTTGAGCAAGAGGAGCGGAGGTCAAATGAGCGGGTTTGCGATTCGATGCGCGGAGAAGGTGACAATGCATGCGTTCTGCTGTTGGCCAATCCAGCCAAAGAAGCGCAGATACAAAGCGCATGTCCCACATAGCAAAGCGATCTTGTTCAAGGTTTGTTGCTGCAATGTCGTCACTATTTGCCTTGATTCCTTCGCTACGGGTGCCAATGGTGAAACTGCAGTGGTTTCAACATAGGATTTTATATCTATAGGCTGCCTCATTTTGTTGTTCTGCTTTAAGGTAAATAGTCGTAATCAATATGTATTTAAACGATGAAATCACAAATATTTATGCATTTATGAATGTAAAAGATATGATTTTACTCTGTTGATTTATGTATTAAAATTTCTAACTCCTTGTTCTGTATTATACCCTCAATTTTATGTCTCGTAAGGGGCTTGCTTGTCTCCGCTTTTAAAATTATTATCCAAATTCATGAAAATAGAATTAAATTACAAGGTTTTTTTCCATGGACAGTTTAGGATGGGTAAAGTTACATTTTCAGTTAGCAAGAAGCCAAAATTGAACAACATCGACACTTAAAAATGGGAGGTGCCAATTCATGAAGCACGTGCCACGGCTAGAATGGATAATGTATTAATTGTTAGACCACTGATAAATATGTAGCACTATTTACAATATTACTAAAGATGCTTTGATATTCTAGCTTAACCTAACTAAAGGGCAACAATCAAAACTTGATATCGATAAAACAAATTGGACATTCCTATTGGACTAGGTATAAGAGACGTAGCAGTAAAAGGTGTCTTCTCTCCTTGGACCTATTTTACTTTTCCTTTCTGGATACTGTTTATAGGGTGGACCTACAGCTCAAAAAGAGGGCTCTGAAGCATCGAGCCTTGTGATTTTTACACAGCTAAGGCCATTATTGGTAGTACGGATTGACCCTGACCAGGAAGTCTTGTCACTAGACCAGAGTCCTTTGAATCCTGTACCAAAACCAACTTCGCATCGTTCGTCGAACCCAGGGCACATTCAAACTCTTCCTTTCATTCGCCGTCACGACCCTGTCAATTCACAGGAATCCGCTCCCATTTTTCACTCCATGTGTCAGTAACGCGTCCATTACTGATGAATAGCACGGGACAAAGATCCGTACGGATGCAAATCGTATGATAATTACCAGCCTAACGGCGCTCCTCGAATACGGAAGTCTGCGCGGATCGTGCCAAAATCCAGACCGGTTGGAACGTCACGCCTTATTATCGCTTCGGAGCTAAATGATTTTACCTGTTCCTCAAAAACACCACTTTACTGCAGTCACGAGTTCGAACTCGGTATAGTGACATAATGCCTTTGTAACTGTTGCTAGCTTCCTGTTGAGATGTTCGACTATTTAGAAAATTAGGAAAAATAGTTCTGGGTTTGTACGAGACGCAGGACATTTTGTTCAAGGTTGTAATAAAAGCATAGAATTACTAAATGATACAGTTAGGTTTGATTCATATTGAAGCTATGAAATATGCACATTTTCCATCAATTCAATCTACTTTTGTCTTGAAGGGTTAGAAGGATCTCTGGCCTCCAACTATCCTCGAAAGAAGGGTACCTGGCCACAGCTTTCGTCTTCCTCAATGTTCGACTGCAAAAGGCACTGATGGCCTCTTGCCCTACATTCCTTCTGAAGGCTATAACAGTGGGATTTGCGTATATTCAAATAATTGACGAGGGGCCTTTTACGTACCCAAACACTTGGGATAGAGGGACGTCGTTGTGGGAGCAGTGGCAATGGGAAGAGGCAGAGAGAAGGGAGAAACCTCTCCACCTAACCTAACCTAACAAAACTTAATCTAACATAGCCTTACCCCTAGCATCCTCCTCACCAAACAACCCCAACACCAACCCCTTCTTGTCAGTGCCCTTAGCTCTTCTGGTAAATTCTGACACTTTTACGTTTCACCCAAAGATGATCTACCTCACTCCTTTTCCTTCTTCCTAATCGCACTAATATTTAAATTCAATGATAGTCTAGAGATAAAAATATTCAACTAATAAAACTTTCTTGTGTTTCAGACCCTCTTTGGTAGGCGCACGGACAGCTTGCTCCCGCCCCTGGATACATCCTGGATCCTCGAATAACTCTAGGGTCAGGCGCGACCCCCGTGCTGTACAAGATCTCGGTGTCCCTTGGAAGTAATCTTTAGTCAAGTTATTTAATATTTATTCCTCACTGTTCGTCGTATACGCTACATTTATCACACATTGTTCCATGTACAATGTACATTTGTAAGTCCGTTGTCTGATCAGTATAGAAGTTAAATTATCTTCAGAATAACATAAATATAATTTTTGAACGGTCGTTTGGACTTTTGCATATTTTCTTTTGGTCCAACTTCTCTGGGAATCAAGTAAAGGATCTAACTTGGTTTGGATATATTCTTTCTCTCCTTCTTCTTGAAATATCCTATGTTGATGGAATTTTGTGTACTATGAAATCCCATCTGTATGGACCAGTTGAATCCAGTTTATTCAAAAAGAGTCTAGTTGTGATCATCTCACTTAATGCGCTACTGTCAACATTATTTCGTCTTTCTTATTCTACATTAGTTTGATTGTAGATTTTACATTAAATTTAAGAAGTAAGCTTCAGTTACGATTTGAAAAACAAACTACATAAATCTGGATCATTATCTGGTGAGCGATTCAACTGAGATCCTATTTGTTTAAAAACTGATTGCCTATAAGTTTTGGAAGTAGAATGTCTATTTTATTTAACCAATCTTTAAACAATGAATTTAATTTGACGTTATCTTAATTTCAAATGTACAACATACTTTGATATATATTCCTCAAATACTTCAGACAGCCTGATTTGTCACCAGCTGTTATATCTTCATTTGACAATAATGATCAGAAAACGGATACGAAAAGCTTTTCCTTGGACTATTAACCGTGTTATAGATATAGAAAATCCAAAGAGGTAGTATATTTTTGTATGTCAGCTTTCATTGTTAGAACCTTAAGTGCAAAATATAACTTTGCCATCTGTGTTGCTTTAACTGTCTCACTTTCATTTGTAAACTTTGAACGTTTTAGGGATTGGGAAAATGTGTAAAGTGGCCTTGAATATGTTGGAAAGAAAATGACCAGAAATGGATTTTAATTTATATGAAAAAGTTTATAAAGATTATATTCTATTCACTACTACAATATTTTTCAACTTTTATTAAGATTGTGACGTATTAGTGGCCTTAGAAAAAATTGAATTGTGAGATAATTGTGTATAAAATGAACGGATGGTGGGAGTAATTATTTACATTGATAATTATTGCTATTTTAGTGTTTATGTAAAATTTTTGATTCGTAATTAATTCATTTAATTTAATTAACAAAAGCAGGGTTGTAAATTGTTTATTGTAAAAAAATGCTTTAAAACTCGTTTATTGTTATTTAATTTTTAACAGTGTAATAGTAAACATGTTACATTTTGCAAAACTCCTGCAACGGCTACAATGGAAAGTATTTTTTGCATTTTTACACTTTAACTTCATTTTACACTATTCACGTTTACATTTCACCATTAAATCTCATTTTCACAATCTTGCGTCCAATATTTTAAACAATCTTCCTTCGATTAATTCTGTAACTTATCTCTTGGTGGAAATCGCCGTGATCTTGTACGTTATAGGCCCATTACCATTTTGTTGGTTAGTCTGTACATTTTGATTTGTATTGTTTACATTTTACGGTGAAGTAAAAGCAATTGTGATATCGATTTCTGTATATCTAACGCTAACGCTCAGAGATTCAATTGCGCAGACTGTATGCCATATGATTTAAACCCTTGTTGGCGAGAATATCGTTGTATCTTCCCTAGATTGTTTAGGATTTAAAAATGTATGACTAAGTAATCAGGAAGTTCAAATTTTTACAAAAGGTAAAATGTAAATTAATGTAATTTTTTTGTTATTTGATTAGTTTGATTATTTTGATTTTTCTCGCCAACAATGTTAGTAACCTCATCTGCGCAGGTTTTATTTTGACTGAGAATGCTTGTTGTTGCATGTGAAGATTCATTTTAGACGCCTCAGAATTGTAGGCCGTATTTAGCTATTAGCCATATTGTATTGTTGCTACTCAATGTGTGTTAGTTATATGGTTTGCATATTTTAATTTTGTATTCATTTGTGTTTATTTCTTATTTCGTAATAAATCTATAAAATGTAAAAGATTAAATGTGAGTTTAATTTCCTGCAGATTGTGTATGTATGTTATGTCTTTCATGGTCTGCCATGAAGTAAATATAAGCATTGACTATATAGTCAATGATATAAGTAATCAGTTTCTTATTGTGAATGGACCCAGAAGGATCGTCAAAGCATTCTGGAATCGTTCCTTCCATATTTCTTTCATAATTTTTCATATCTTCAGTTCATTTTGTTCCTGGGTTCTTTGGCGCTTCTCAATCTGACAAAACGATCCACTTTTTGCATTGTTTCTAAAATATGTTCTCTCTCCAGCATATTTTAGTTCAATATTTGCTTTTTGTAAATCCAATTTTACTTGGGCAATCCATGGTGGTGTTGATTTTACTTTATCTATGCAAGTTAGAATTCTAGTGGGGAGTCTTGTTTGAGGAAGTCTTGTAACATATCCATAACATCGTATATACATAACAAGTATGTATATTTGAATACCAATAGTTTAGAGTGCTCAAAATTCTTAACCTCCTCCTGCGTATCCTCTAAAACCCCGAATCTTTGCGGTTGTGTCCTTTGTGGTTCCGAATCTAGACCCAGATGTAATTTGTCTTGAGGCTATGAATTAAAGCCATGGCTTAAACAATTTTCTATAAAAAAAAACTTTAAAATGCCAAAGGTGTAAGCACCTCTGAATAACGAATGAGACAATGAATATTTCTCAATTCAAAGTAAATACTACAACTGCACAGTACGTGATTTAAAACCACACCATCGATAATCCTGAAACCCCTGATTGTAAAATAATGCCTCAAAGACTTACAAAAACTTAAGGGGTTTAAATTGATCCGAAAAAGTTACAATTTCTAACACAAATCATATCCAATTGAAGTTCGAAGAGGTGTTAAACAGGAAAACTCTATTCATCAACCAGAGTGGGTCTGGCTAAATGTTAAATATCCTTTAAAAGTTGTCATTGTGCAATTTTGTTATCGGAGTACTCCAAAATACATTCACAATAGTTGTTCAATTTATCAATTAATTATTGATATTTAATCTATTAAACACTCTGCTGTAATTAAAAATCCCATTTCCTCATAAACCACAAACTGTCTGGGTAGACTAGTGATTATTATGCTGGCTTTCAAATCGAAAGGTTCCTAGTTCGATTCCATTCCAAACCGATTCTAGATCCAGGTACCATTTATCTTTTGTCTGTGGAAAATTAATTATGTTAACAAAAAGGTATTAGATTGTAACAAGACCTGGGTTTGTAACGTTCCCTTTCAAGACTCGTTAAACATACATAAATACATAGCATAACATTTCTACAATTAGAAAGCTTTTAGGACAACTCCCTACTGTAAATGATGGAATAAACCATTAATTCATTACTTTAAACTGAATTGATTCTGAAATTTAACAATACCACATCACGTTATTGTGACAATAATATAAAATATGATAGTGACAAAAGTTGATTGGATGAATTAAATTACGGTGCTGGCCTACTTCCAGAACAAAACTTTTCGTCAGCCCTTGGGACAAATTGGACAACTCAATTTGGTATTTTGACCTTACGTAATATTCCTCCACCGCATCTTCAAACACTTTACTGATGTAGCTACTACTAACAAATAAGCATGGATTTTGATATAATGTGTATTTTTAATGACAAGAACGAACTAATTAAATAATGAGGAACATATATAAGCTTGTCAAACCACTAAACAAGTGACCTTGGTCAAGATTTCATCCTCTTACAGGTCATCCAGTAATTACGTTGTAACTTAAATTGAATGCAGTTAAAAACTGGGAATCTGGGCCAACAGTTTATATATTCAGGCTAACATGTAATATAGAACTGGTAATTATAAAAAGCGCAGTAGAATTGCTTCAGCCGACTTTCAAGATGGCCTTCCATGGAACATGTGTAATTATCTGACAGGATTGCTGAGCAGCACGATGTCACGAGTAACATACTTACTGGGTTATATACTAACTGGTAGGTAGAAGACACTACTACATCACGACTAGAAATATTTACTGGGTTAGTTTATGCTTACTGGTATGAAACAAATACACAGACGCAACAACTTACTGACCACATGTAGAAGACACTACTACATCACGAGTAACATACTTTCTGGGTTATATACTAACTGGTAGGTAGAAGACACTACTACATCACGACTAGAAATACTTACTGGGTTAGTATATACTAACTGGTAGGTAGAATACACTACTACATCAAGACTAGAAATACAAATACACCGACGCAACAACTGACTGACTACATGTAGAAGATACTACAATATAAAATTTAAGTAAAAACGAAGAAGAAGGCAGCACTGCCAAGTTAAGGCATACCACAAATACATACTAAAATACTAACTGGATTAGTATATCTAACTAATAAGTTGAATACATTAAAGAAAACGTAACTGAATTCTGAATCTGTGTTACTATAAAGTTTATTCTTGTTCATAAACTAACACTAAGCAGGAACAATTGACTAACATAAATTAATTGGTTAGTAGATACCATTACACGGCATCTATCTATATATTAATAGGCAAGCATGTTTCTTTAAAACCCTTTTTCTCAGCTCGTGTGCATTGTAGGGAAAATCTACGCATACCGTTAGAAAGATATGTTCCTGCAGTAGTGCAGAATACCTTTAAAAATTAAAATAGGCTCAAAAATAAGAACAATAAATGAATTTGAAATTCAAACAAATTAACATGGGCTTTATAGGTTGCCATGCTGGTGACGAAATAACAACGAAATATAAACAGAAAATCAAAACAAATGGAAGAAATTACAATCACACGTTTTATTTACAGGGTGGGGTGAAAATAGAGAAGTCTGTACAGTGCAATTGGATTTTTTTAGCTAGATGCGGTTAAGCTGTAGTGGAATATCTTTGAAGATGAACCTTTTAAGTGCGATCATGTGTTCATACGTGTCAAATTTCAGGGTAAATCAAAACAAACAAACTGGCATAAATCTCCTATATATAATACGAGTAAAGTTTGAATAATTGTCAACTCGATCTGGGAATCGGCCCTAACAAAAACGTTTATATTTACGGAATAACTAAGTTCTGTGTCAAAAATAAGTTCTAGACCGGTGGTATAGCCAGGAAAAATCTATTTTCGCCATAATATGAGTACAAACTTTTGAAAATTTAACATGGGCCTTATGAGAAAACATTCCGCCATTATTTTCATTTTGTTTACATTTTAAGACATAACGTGACGTTCTGTACCCACGGGCACCTCAGCTTGCGCATGCGCAGAAAGCTCTTAAAGCACTTTCCGAGGTAAAGGTGACTGTTACTTCTGAATCTGATGTGTATTGATTCATTGATTGGCTTCTGACGTACAATTTTGTCAACTTTTGACAGAGAGAAAGAGAACGACTCGACTTTGCTCCAGTTCATTAAATCGTTTGATGTATAAGAATTTGTATTATATTATAAAACTTGAGAGAGTAATGAGTTTCTAATCCATGAAAAAACTATTCTTATATTAGCCACAGCCTCAGCTTTATTACTGTTTATTTAATAATTTTGCCAATATAAACAAGCGATATATCTTATTTTTTATATTTTTAATGGTTTTAATAATAATTGTCATCACTAAATTACTCTTTTAGTTGGTTGTCGTGTCGTGTCGTTGTCCATAATGTCGTCTGATTCTGACTGATGTTACACTGAATCGGTCATAGGGAAAATAATTAATTGTAACCTAACTTACTACTAGCACTAACTAAGAGTGTTGCAATTAGCAGTGTGGGATGATTGCACCGGATAATTTAGCTATCTATTTCAGAAAAATAAAATTTAAAATAGATCAAACACTAGGATTTGTTCTAAAGTTTAAGCCGTGTTGAGATGGATCCTTTCAGGTTATCCTAGCCTGAACAACTGGGTTAGTAACTTAGCTTGATTTGGTTGTTCATCCATGTTTTGTTTATTCACACTAATCAATGGCTACTAAATTAGATATGTCTTATTCTGCTATGTTTTGAAATCAATATCCATAGGCCTTAAGCCCTATTTTTTTTTTAAGTACTGGCACTGGGTACATCATTAGGTAACTCGGTAAGGTTGCTTTTTATAAATGGATAATTTCATGAATCACTAATACCCTAGGTGTGTTCAGTACATAATGAAACTCTCAAAAAATTACTAATCCTAACCCAAATAAAATATAGGTAGCTTTAGGCATACAGAGGATGAGTGTTTATATTACTTCTCTGTGGTGTAAGTTATGTATGCCTTAAGATGGCTATAAGTTTAGGACTAGATATTAAATAAACTCCCAATTAACTTATAGGCCTAGCCTATTATTTGTCAGTGTCAATAAAATAGTGCAATTAGGCCTATATCGAGGACAGCCAAACTTGGATATGCAACCATGTTTATACCTAAGTTTCCTTTTTGGTACTCACCAACATGGATCAACCCGGGAAACGTTTACCCCTTAGTCGAGCTAGACCTAGCCTATATGGCTAAGCTACAAAACTTTACTTAAATAGTTTATAAGTTTTCAAACTGAGCTAAGTTTGGCAAATTGATGTGATATAACATATCCCAAGTTAAAGCATGCGTCATAAAATGTTGCAAACCGACAAATGTCACCAGCTCGAAATTTCTCTGGAGAGTGGAGGCTATCTATTGTATTTTAAGCATTATAGCCTATGTTATATGTACCCAAGACTGTGATGATTTTGAAAAGTGTGTAGGGATTTTTCTCCTAAACTGCCTAAAAGGTTTTAAAATTTTTGTGTTGCAGCGTGTCGTGTGTTGACAAATGTTACAAAACGACAAACGTCAAAACTTGAATTTGCTCTGGAAGCTATCTATCCTTAAGCATTATAGCCTATATTATCTGTAGGCATACACAAGAGCGTGATGACTTTAAGTGTCAAGGGTTTTTCTCCTAAACTAGACTAGGCTACCTACATTTTTGTGTGAATAGGCCTAAGTAATACAACTAAACAAAGCCAAAACAACAACTAAATATCCAG